TAAGGAAGTCACTTGACTTCTCTGGTCCTCCATTTCTGCTTGGGTAAATTTTAAGATGTGGAGTAGATTTACGGGGTCGACTTCTGGAGTCAGGGGATTTGGTGCTGATTTGGCATGGGCAGGCTAATATTTCATTGCTGAACTGAAGCCTGGACAAAGGTAGTAAGTTGCCGGTTAGGAAGACTCAGAGACCTCAGCAAAGGACGTTTAGGCTGAATCTTTGTAGAAGCTCAGAGTTGAAAGGAACCTGAAAGATAATTTGGCTCCACCTCTGCAAGCCAAGTGGTGGAGCATAAGGTAGATTCAGCTTCCCTTCAGTTTACTAGTGCTATCCAGCTCAAAACACAAACTGCTTCAACTGAGCCCTGAGTTTTTGTTTTATTTTTAGCCCTACAGAGGACATTGAGTAGCTTCCAGAGCCTGCCCCACACTTTAAACTCTCTGTCTCTCTCTCTCTCTCTGTCTCTCTGTTTCTCTCTCTCAGCGGTGTACTTAGCTATTAAACAGGGCAGTCAACTTAAAACAGGTCTTGCTTGGCTGTAAATGAGCAGCAGTTTTGGTCACATTTGTACTTAGAATCATAAGAATGGGAGCTCCCAGAGCCCTTCAAGATCACCCAGTCCACTCCCTTTATTTTTACAGATGAGCAAACTGAGGTCCACAAAAGGTCACACAAGTACTAAGTGGCAAAATGGGGATTTGAACCGATTTCCTGATACCAAATCCAGTGCTCTTTTATCTGCATGCTGGTGCTTCTTAGAGATTGGTGTCATCATAAGCATAGAACTCTGATGCCTTTAGGTTGAATTCTCTGAGAATTCAACCTTTAGGAGAATTCTCTGAGAGACCATCTTGGGGTCAAGGGCCCAGGGAGTTTACTCAGGGGTAAAGGTTGGTATGGTCTGAGAATTGGGGGCAGAGGGGTGCAAATATGAACTCTGTTGTGTTGACACCTTTCTGGTTGACTGAGAGTTAGACTGGGAACAATCTGTGGAAAGGCCTTGTGACTGAGGGGAAGGCAGCAGATGAGAAATGGATGCCCTGCCCCATGTTTGTCTGCTGTGGCTCAGGCTTTTCCCTTCTCTGTCTTTTGAATTGGGAGAAAGGAAGAGAGAATCTGGAGCATAGAAGCTGGAGGAATTAATTTGATTCATCTCTCCCCTACCATTGAAGGGCAGCCTATGAGTCCAAAGGCTTCTCTCAGCAAAACCTCATTTTGACCTTTTTCTGCAACTTCTTCTCCTTACAATACCATAGGTACTGGCCTGGTTTTGCCCTTTCCTTCTTGTGCATAGTGAAGGACCTTTCCTCCTTTCCCCTATTCTCCCCCCAATAATGAATGGTAAAATGTCCTGCAAAATAAGTAGCAAAAAGAACTGGGAGATTATTTCTCTTAACTTGGAATTCTGAACTAGGGGAGAAGGAGAGGGAAGTATTGTTGTATTAGGTCCTAGGCAGAGGAGAAAGAGCATGTTGTCAACATGACCTCTAAAAAACCTTCCAATTTCCTTATTCTGTGAATTTCCTAGGACTATTTCGATAGCCTCAGAGCCTAGATGTCCATTGTTATTTTTAGCTCTGCCTCATGATAGGAAAGCCAGAACTAGAGGAAACTCTGGGCTGGATGAGTGAAAGGTGTTGGAGCAGTGACTGCTAGCTCCTCTTCTGGTTTGTGACCAGTTGGCTGGTCATAGAATTATAGATTTGAAACTGGAAGAGACCCTAGAAGTTATCTAGTCCAATCCTCTCCCCCTCCTCCAATTTACAGATAAGGAAACTGAAACCCAGAGAGGTGAACTGACTTACCCAACATCTCCTAGGTAGTAAGCAGAGCTGGGATTCAAATCCAAATTCTTTGACTTCAAATCCAGTGCTCTCACCGAACTATTCTGCCTCCCTTCTAGGACTCCTGCTAGGGTATTACTCAGATTCAAAATGACTCGCAATAATTTTCCGCCAAGTCTAAGTAATCAAGGGGGCAATCTGAACTGCAAATTCTATACCTGCATCCTATTAAAGGACAACTTAAGAACCCAGGGACCTCTTCTCTCAGCTAGCAGTGATTGGGTAGCCAGGGAAGCAGCAGGACCATAAAGCCAAGCAGCAAATTCAGTCCTTTGGGAACTGAATTCACAGAGTCCTAATCTCTCCCAGACAGACAGACACATGAATGATGGAGCCAGATAGAGGAAGCCTGAGGCCCTGTGGGAGGCCACCTTTGGTAGCAGCTTTCCAGGTGACAACTTATTTCTATTCCACCCCACTGACCAGAGTAGTTGTAACTTGGCTGGCACCAGTACCAGGCTCCAGAGAGGTGACAGGTATCTAGCCTTTGTGTGGGCACAACAGGGGACAAAGATTGAAATTGTCTCCAGACATGGAGGGGGGCCAGGTAGGCCATTCAGGTGTCTGTTAGCAGAGGATATGAGACTCTATGGGAAGAGAAGGCTCCATCATCAGTGATGTGGCTGAGAAAAGATGTGCTCACAGTGGTTCAGCACCCTACTCATTTTCAAATCTAGCAGGCTCTTGTTAATTTCAAAATGGCCAGCAAGTAGTGTAGTCTGATACTTGGGGACCAAGGAATCCAACCAAGGGATAAACCACTTCTGTTGTCCTGTCCTCCCTTCCTAGGAACCACCCCCAAGCGTCTGTAAGTGGAAGTGTGCCTTGCCTTTCCCACCAAGCTATGAAGGCTGGTCCCAGTGTTTGGTGATTGTCAGTGGAAAGGTGCTGCAAGGTCCAGAGACGCTGATGAATGCTGACAGGGTACATTCCCATGGGGCCCTGGTTATTTGTCAGAACCCTGAAGCTGACATCCTACCTCCTGACACGCTCTCTGGTTCTTATCTCTTCCCCTCTGCTTGGTTTCCATCACCTGAATCATCAGGTCCTGGCCTCACCCTCCTCCCCACACCCAGTATTCCCCTAATTAGCAGAAGAGGCTGGGATACTGGGTACATCTGAGCTAAGAAGTTCCTCTCATGATTGCCTGCATCCCAGTACACCACTGGGGCTAGCAGTATATATGTATGTATGTGTGTTTCCGAGTTCTCTTTACCTTACCCATGCCTGCTAACTCAAGTGAGTGGCTTGCTTCCGTCCCTGGGTGTCTATGTTTAGATGAGCTGCTGCTGCTTGGGGGGTGGGGGTGGGGAAGGGATGACTCATGCCTCTGAGTAGCGCCAGTGTGGCCTGATACCTCTTAACCCTGTCAGCAGTAGAGCTTAAGACATCCCTCCTGAGTCCCTCCTTTCCCCTCCCCTCTCCTTTCTCCATCCAGTCACTCTATGAATAGGGATGTGATGTAACTGAGACTCATTCCAAACCCTAACAAGGTGGAAGAAAAGTGGACTCCACTAGGAACTACTGTGGGGTACCTTCCCATCAAGAAGGCCAGTAGCTAGCCGAGGAAAATGAATCTTGGTTCTTTGAAAGAGCAGAGGGCTGAGAATTAGGAAACATGAATCTCTGCCACTGATTCAGTGTGTAACAGGGGACAAATCACTTTGTCTCTCTGGGCTTCCATGAAGGGGTTGGATTAGATGCTCTCTAAAGTACTTTTTGGTTCTAACATTCTTTGACTTTTCCATAGTGAGCGAAGCCATGGACTTTTTTGAATATTCAGGAGATTCTGGATTTTTGTGTGTGCCCAGGGTGGGGGTAGGGGCACAGGGCCACAGCCATTTCTTCTGGGTTAAGGTTTTCAGTACTTGGTTCTAGGGTGTTTGGTCTTTGTTTTTAACTCTGTTGTCCTCCTGAAGTCTCCGCTCATCTCCCCACCACCCTCACCCCACCTTTCCTCCAGGAACCTGTGATTATGAAACCATGATTTATCAGAGAAAAACCTGTTGGATTTTTACCTACAGCAGCTGGAAATTCCAGCAGCATTCCGGGTGACATCCCCATACTATGTGGCATGTTGTTTCATGTTGGAAGACAGCAGAGCCTTGCTCAGAGGCTCCAGCTTCCTCAGAGCCTCAGGGAGATGTGGGTGCATGACTGTAAGGAATGGAAAAGGGAAAGGGGGTGTAGGCTATAAGGGAAAGGCAAGGCAAATGAATCTCAC